AAAATATATTCGCGCGCTCCAAGGTATGCTACAAAAGTATGAATTCGCATATAAATCAATTTAAGAAACTGTTGCCTACTTTGCGGCTGCACGGGAATTCAATTGAAATGAAAGTCCAGTTGTAAAATTTTCCATTATTATTGTTTATTATTAATTAAATAATTGCCTTGTGGTTTGCCATATTTTACAAAGTATACATAAAAAAAAACAAAAAAAAAAACACATTTTCCGATAGCAGTTGTTGGTTTTAGTTGTACATAAATATTAAAGTTAACCGTTAATAATCATACGTTATATATATATATGTATATACATATTTATGTATATGTATATGTAAATGTGTTAGATGTTGTGATTAATTGTTTTCATAACCCTCCCAAGTAGAAAAAGATAGCTATAAATGCTTTGCTTTGTATATATGTGTGTGTATGTATGCGTGTGTGTGTGTGTTGCATTAAAATTGTGATTGTTTTCTTGTTGCTGCAATTGGTCGTCGATTATCATAGAGTTTATAGATCATATATGTATGTACTTTAGATAAATTGCCTATAAGGAGTGCAATATAGATGTGTGAGTGTGGGTCTATGAGAGTGTCTGTGTCTGTCTAGGGTAACTTCTAGAATAAACGGCATTGTGCTATACCTTTGGCCCACTACGAACTACGCATATATATGTAATATATATTATATATGTATATATATATATCTATGTAGTATATATAGTTGTATACATAGTTTTTATTTTGTTTTTGTTTATATGTTTATATTCGTATATTTATTAGCAAAAAAATGTTTGCGAACAGGCAGTTCGTTCTTTTCTTCTGGATGTTTCTGATGAAATTTTGATGATTTGAATGTTGTTGGCGAGAGATGAGATACAAAAAAAAAAAAAAAAAAACCGCTCTTAATTCAATACTGTTGTTGTTTAGTACACATTAGATGTATTAGCGTTAATTAGCTTTACTTACAGGCTACTAAGTATATTTTAATGTAATAATAATAAATTATTAATCAAATATGCTTGTTAGTGAGCAAGATGGGGCCGTTGGGCACGGACAGGGACAGGGAGAGGGAAAGGGGCGCGGGCGCAGTTGAGGCCGGCTGGCATGGCTGGTATGGGTATAGTAGGCAGTAGGTTGGGGGCGTGGCCTGTGGCATCAATGACTGCCCGGCTGAGCAGCCGTGGGCCAGGCAATCTTGGCATCGATGCGCTTGTAGGCGAGCATGCAATGCTTGCCCTTGGCAGCGAGCCGCGCATCCTGCGGGCACTCGGCATCGGTGAGCAGCGTCTCCTCGCCGTCGACCAGCTTGAAGAGCGCATAGTCCTGCGGATTGGTGATGCGCGCCTTATGCGCTATGATCCGGCACACTTCGCGCGTCGTCGTGTGCGGCCGCACGGGCAGCGTCCGGGTCTGGAGCGAGCCGTTGCACTCGTCCGGTATGATGACGCGCAACACGCTCGAGCAGGCCGGCAAGCAGCTGGAGCGCCACTACAACAGCAGAGAGAGAGAGAGGGAGAGATAAGTGTGCATTCAGTTGGTGTTGTGGCTTGGTGTACTTACGTCCAGTGAACCGCTGCCGCTCTCCCCCTCGGATGCCATGAACGTCTTGAGCACCTGTACGGCGCTGCAGAGGGCGGTGAGGTAGTAGCCGGGCTCGCCATTCAGCAGCGTCGGCTGGAGCAGACCCCACATGAACTCCGCCTCGATCTCGGCGCCAACGAATCCACACTTGGCCACCACATAGACCAGCACCGGCAGAAAGTCATCGGCGCCCAGCTGCTGGCCCCGCGGACAGCCCGTCGCATCGAACACTGTGGATATGACGCACAGGAAGAGCTCCAGTTTTTCCAGCGGCAGCTCGGCCTCCTGCAGACGCCACAGCAGATTCGAGATGAGCCGCAGCGCCGACTGCGAGGGCGGCGTCACTGTGGGGCGTATGCCAAAGTCGGAAGCATCCCGCTCGTAGGCGTAGCGCACATTCTGGGCGAGCAGCTGAATGTCCTCGCTGCGCTTGTAGTAGTCCACGAAGATGCCGTAGAGATGCTCGCGCAGTGGCAACACCACCAGCTGGTGCATCACCGTCTCCAGCATGGCGTCCAAGTTGAGAAACTCATCGGACTTGAGGCGAGCGCGCGCCGACTCCAGCTCGGCATGGAACTTGCCCTCGCCGTGCTTCACCAAATAGTTCTTCATGCCGCTCATGAACTGGCGCATGTTGCGCATGACCACCTGGGGCGCCGCCTCCCTCGACTCCTTGGTGCAGCTGATGAAGTTCTCAATGTTGCGGGCGAACGTGGAGTTGGGATCTTGGGCCAGCTGCAGCGTGTACGCTCGCAGCGAGTCGCCCGGCCCGACGCTCTGAATGTTCATCTTATTCCGGGGATGGCCTGCAAGCACGAGAGACATCAGTATGGGTAAGAGAGACACATATGGTATGTTCATAAAGAGAGAGAGAGAGAGAGGGTGTAGGGGAGAGAGTGAGCGAGAGCGAGAGCGCGATTGCCTATGAGTCAATGTGTGAGCAATCCTCGCCAGCTTCTTACCGAATAGCAGTCGACAGAGCAGCCGCAGCAATAAGATGAAAGGCGTGCAACAGCCGGGCTTATCGCACGGCTTCTCGTCGGCGCACTCGCAGCCGCGCCGATAGCGCCGATAGAGGCGACGGCTCTGGGCCTGGAGGGCCAGGCCCAGGGCGCGGCACTCGACAATGTGCGCCATGTTGAGCAGTATGTTGCCCTGGTCGTCCAGGTGAAAGAATTGCTTGATATCGTAGTGATCACAGGTGTTGCGCTCGCCGGGATGGCAGACGTCCGGGCAGACGGTGCCGCCGATGGGCTTCAGTTCGGGATTGGGGCACTTGCCAATGGCGCCCATGATGGACCCGGCGAGTGCTTCAGTCTTCAGTTGCTTGCGATTGATGCGACAGTCTTTGAGCACCTGTTGCGGACAGGTGGCCGTCGTCGTCGTCGTCGTCGTCGTTGAGGTTGTGGTGGTTGTTGCCGTTGCCGTTGTGCCGTTGGTCGATATGGAACCAATGCTGGACAGGCTGCTGCTGGCGTACTTGGATTTCTTGCAGAGCACCGTCGATTGCTGCTGCTGCTGCTGCTCCTGCTGCAGGCGCTGCTCGAGCCCGTTTCCGTCGCTGGGCAGCGCAATGCCCGTTCGTATATTGTCGACGAACAGCAGCTCGAGGAATTTGCGTTTGCGCCTCGACGGCTGCATCGGCTGTGAGCCATCCGAGGAGCACGCGGCCAGCTTGTCCTCCTCCAGGCTGTGGTTGTGTCGGCGTGGCAGCGTCTGTGTGCGCTGCTGCAGGAGCTCCTCCTCGAAGTCAGCCGAAAAGTAATTCTCCTGCTGCGGATGATCAACTATCTCCCAGTCGGCCATAAAGCTTAGGAACTGCGCCTCCTCCTTGTAGTGGCGCACATGGACGGGATCGTGAAAGAACTCCTCTGGCTCGAGTCGTTCGATGCGCTGCTCATCCAGGCTGCAGAGCGACTTTGACATATCGATGCTATTGCCAGTGCCTCTCGCAAGGGGGGCGGGGCGGCTCGCGGGGTGTGCGCGCGACGATCTTCTGAACCAGCTCATGATGGATTCTGTAGCGATTTTTGCCAGCTAAAACGAATTGGCGAAAACGCAAGTTTCTCATCGGCACACGCTGCTGCTGCTGCGAAGAGGGGCGGGCGCGGGGCTGCTGCTGCTGCTGCGGCTGGTGGGTGTTATCGATCGACAATCGACGCCGTTGCAGATCGATTTCAATTAGTAATCAATTTATTGTCGTTGCTGTTGCTGTTGTTGTTGCTGTAGCGAATTGTTATTGCCGTTGCGTCGTGTTGCTCTAAACGCGGCCAATGCAAAACTAATGCTGAACTTCATACGCATTAGTTTATAAGACTGCAACAACGATAACGATGACGCTGACGCCGCCGTTGGCAGCGACGCCGACGCTCGCTGCGCCTCTACAAAAAGATAGCAACTAGCGCGACGTCGACGTCGCAGCTGCGGCCTAAATTGCGAGGCACTGCGACCTCAATTTGTCAATTTGTCCCGCCCGCTCCATCAAACCGCCTGCCCGCCTGCCTCCAGGTAGCTTCTGGCAGGGATCGGGCCACTGTTAATCCGGGTCAACTGGGAATTTCCGGGCGGACAGTACCTGCCCGAGCGATTTTCTCTTTGATTTTGCGCAAGTCGCGAGCAGCGAAAGTCAAAACCTTATCAGAAAGAACAGCTGGCTGAGTGGAGGAGAAACTGTGTCAAGAGGAAATGCCACTGAGTCAGCGGTTGAGCGGGTTATGAAGCGGCTGAATGGCTTAGGTAAATGCCCTCCCTCCCTCCCTCTCTGTCATCATTCAATATGCAAATTGCAATACCTGCTGCAGGTAGGCCACAGATTGCGCCAGAGACAGAGCGAGAGAGAGAGAGAGAGTGAGAGAACTGCAGCTGAGCCTCAGAGAGCGAGAGCTGAGCGCTCGTTATGCAAGGCTATGGAGATAAAGAGTTGATTCATGCTCGACGCTTGCATGACACAAAGAGAGCGGCAAGAGAGAAATCTCTCAAAGACAGTCTGTCTAATGTCTGGCAACGATGACGTTTCCTCAACGTAAGATTCCCCGATCGATCGACAACAATGAAAACGGCGAGAGATCCCGCTCTAATGCAATCGCACCTTACGATTGCATCAGCTTTACGAAGCCTAAACTCAACTTGAGGAATTGGTTTGCTCTGCTTCGACATTTTTTGTTGTTATTTTGCTGCGTAGTTTGGAAAAACCTTTGGATTGGAGGTTTCTGTGAAGGTGCTCGTTTGCGTCTGTGTGCAGGAAGTGCTCCTCGCAAGAGGCTGCACAAGATTCGAGAAATGAGAGATGATATTTCAGGAACAGAGAGATTAGAACTAACTGCAATAGTGATCTATGAAAGCGATTTATGTGTTGTATATGAGATGGGAACTGAGGTATCTATAGTACACATTAAACCATCATAGAAAGGGGTGTAACCCTTTGGAATATGTTTACTAAAATGCAAGGGATCTGTTTATTCGGTGAGCTCAAATAAATATGGGACTTGTTATTTTTATAGTTAATCTTAGATATAAGACTTAGTAACTCTGACAATACATTGCTAGAGATAAAAAGTAGAATAGCCGGTGCCGGTAGAGTTAAGCCTCCTTCGCCTCACCTTCCTCACTTCCATTCGAAATTCTCTTGAATTGCAGTATTATCTACTTAGCTGGCAAGTGGGCAGGTTGCCCAGGTGTCCGACGATTTCCGTTTGGCTTATTTACGGCTCTACTGCACCGTCCAGATAAGGGTGCATCAAGGTGCCCTTTAGCTGAATTTTGGTTTGCTGAGTTCAGCGAACCGTTATCCACTTATCCACTTGCTTATCGTGCTTGACAACGCGAAATTGTTGCTTAGAGCAAACACAGTTGGATTTCGCTGGAGAAAAGCTAGAGCACGTGTCTTTTAGAGTGGACCCAAATCTAAAAATAGTCCGTACCCAGACCCAGTAGACGCCAAAAATAAAAATGCCACCCATTGCGTAGCGCTCTGTGTGCATTTCATCAGCCCTGCGCTGACCCAGAATAGAGCGCAGAAGAGATTCGAAAAGTCTGGCTTGAACACTCTAATCGGTCGCGTCTTCAGTGCCTGGCCTGGCAAATTACGCATCCCATTGAGCGGCGAGAGACACGGCGCGTTTTCAAACGCGCACTGATAAAAACTCAGCCAGCTGCAGCGGCAGCGGCAGCGACAGCGACAGAGACAGAGCAGTCGACGTCGAGTTTACATTCCAAAGTGCATGACTGCACCAATATTTATATAATTCTATGTCCGACGCCTGAAACTTATCAAAATTGTTTTAGCTGGCTAACTGCGACGCATTTCATGCTGCTGCATATGTGTCGAAGCAGCAGGCATTGCGCGCCAGATAAGTTTCGGCAAAGACTTTGTAGTCCCCAGACTGCGAACATGCAGCAACAGGGGTAGAGGCGGCGGTAGAGGCGGGGTAGAGGCGGCGGTAGAGGCCGAGGCAGCATCTGAAGTTGCGGCCGATGCTGATAATCAGACTGCGGTTCAGTTCGGTTCGGTTCGGTTAACCAGCTCGAAGCAGTTCGCTCAACGATAGACTCCACTCGTGGACGCTTCGTTTGCTTATGATTTGGTAAACGAGCAACCCGTGCGCTCAATCAATCAATCAAACAAACAAGCAAACAAACAAACAAACACACAAGCAGTCAGTCAATAGGCGCACGATGACGACGCAGCGCCCCATCGTTCCTCTGATCGCTCGTGATCGACCTGTATTTGCTTTTGTCTGCTGCTCCATGGAGGCCACGCAGCGTAGTATGATGCAACAATAACAAGCGATTGCAATTGAGCATACGACGATGATGACGATGGCGATCGGCTGTCCATTGATAAAGTGCCGGCGAGTGTATACAGAGCCACATTGATTATAGACGTTGCTAGATAAACTTTGCGCTCGAACCACAAATCTGAATAATTCCCTTCGAATATGTCCATTTCTTGTTTAGCTGCGACGATACTTGGACTGTTATTGAATAACTGTCAATAATCGATGGAGCCTCAATTAACTCGAGCAGCTTGATCAACTTGCTCAAATTGAAGACTTTACTCCAGAAATTTCGATTTTTTTGATGGTATTTAATTTGTAACATCATTTGTTTCCCTTTCCATTCCTGCGTTCAGCTGTAGATGCGAAGATCCTTGAATATATTTTTGCAACTCGATCAGCTCCATGAACTCGATCAGTTCGATCAAATCAATGAACTCACATTTCAGAGTTTATTCCAGAAATTTCTAATTTGTAGTATCATTTATTTTGGCTTGCGATCATCTGTGGATATGAAGATCCTAGGATAACTATTATCTCGCTCAACTCGACCAACTTTTTCAATTCATCAACTCATATAGAACTTTAATCCAGAATGTATATTTTTCTTAATTTGTTTTCTTTTCTATTCCTGCGATCATCTGTAAATGCGAAGGTTCTTAGGCCCTAAACTATCACCTCGATCAATAGATCAATAGACTCCATCAATACGATCAACTCCATCAACTAGTAGAGTTAACTGTAGAGGCAAAGATCCTTGGACAACTATCATCTCGATTGAGCTCTATAGACTCCATCAATTCGATCTTCTACTCCGTCAATTGTAGCAACTCCATCAATACGATGTACTCCATCGAGTAGGTTAACTCCATCAACTCAATCAACCCGATCAGCTTAGCTGGATCAACTCCATCAACTCAACCGACTAACCTCGTCACGCTCACATTCTCACTCCTCTAAACAGACTTTAATATCTTATAGTTTATGTTTTCATACTCACATAATATCTCACGATCCCGCATGCTTGGATTCCTTAAAATGGTCGCCACCTTGGGTCGCATTGTTTTGTTGTTGTTGTTGTTGTTGTTGCTGCCAGCGCCGGCGCTGGTGCCATTTTTATTGGCCTTGAGCGTGTCCTGGTTGCAGCTGCTGTTGCTGCCGTCTTTGGTGCTGCTGAATTCCTCAATGATGGTGTCATCCTCCGAGAGCGCCGGCCGGCACTTGGACAGATGTATGGTATCCGAATTGATGGTGGCATCTATAACAAGTGGAAGAATTACGGATTAGTTAAGCTGCCGTGATTGACAATCCATAAGGAGGGTGTTGGCTATGTTTACCATCCTGCATTGGCATGAGCGAGTCCCACTGGGAGGAGTCCCAGGGCTCGGAGAAGACAGTGCCGTCATCTGACTGCGCCGAGTCGATGCCGCCGTAGTAGGTCTGGCAGAATGCGGCACAGTTGCGCTCCACGTTGTCGTACGAGGACAGTCGACAGCCGTTCTGGCTCTGGAATGACTTTTGGCTGCCATCGGCGTTCGACTTCTCCTGCAGGGGCTGCGGGGCTGCGCTCGTCGTTATCGCCGTCGTCGTCGTCGTCGCCGTTGCTGTTGCTGTTGCTGCTGCCGGCATCTGGAGCGGAGTCGAGCAGCGCACGAGCTCCGGCAGATTAAGATCGGGCAGACGCTTGGCAATGATCTGGTGCACGGTTAGCGGGCGCTTCTTGGAGCCATCCTTGTCGCGTCCCAGCGAGTTCTCCTTCTCCTGCCAGTCGACAGCGGCGACTATGACGCCGCTGCCGCCGCCGCCGCCTCCTCCGTTCGTCTCCTGCTTGGCCATGAACTCCCAGCTGCTGTCCAGCTGCCAGTGATCGATGCGAGTGCGTCCACGCTTCGCCGCCTGCTGAGCCATCGGCTTTGGCTTCTGCTTCAGCTCATCCAGGCTGCCGGCCAACTTCTCCAGGTCGGCGGGCAGCAGCAGCGGCACAGCGGCCGTTGCATGGCCGCCCTTGAGCGGCTCCGAGTGCCGCTGATTGGCGGGCAGAAGCTGGCTGCGCTGTTGCCGGCGCAGAATCGCCGCCGCGGCATTGGTCAGACCCGCCTGACGCAGTGCATCCGCTGGCTCCGCATAGGTGGGGCTGCCCTGCTTGCTGCGTGCGCCCGGTGTCTGTGCCGCCGTGGGCGTCGTGTCTCCGCCATCATCGACGGCGCTCGGCTCCGTCAGCGACTGGCTCATGGCTGGCGCGGCATTGCCCAGATTCGGCAGGAGGAGGCCGGCACGCGAGCGAGCCGGTGCATCGCCCGAGAACTGCATCAGCTGCTGGCTGCTATCCTGGCTAGCGCTGGTCTCTTCGCAGGGTGACAGCAGCTGCTGCTGCGTGGGTGTGCTAGCTGCTTGACAGAGAGAGAGAGAGGGAGAGAGGAATAATGGATTAGATCTTGAATGGAGTCTAGATGGTAGCTGCTGGGATCTCAACTTACGTGTCTCGGCCAGCAGGTCGGGTCGTCGATTCAAGACGCCGCCATTGTCCAGTCCGGGCTTGAAGCTGGTTAGGAGACTAGCCCGATCGCTGGGATCGTGCGTCCAGACGTCCTCGTAGTCGCTGATCTTGTCGCTCAGGGCGCTGGCACAGTACTGCGCCGGCGGGCTCTCCAGTATGTCGGACTCCTGGTAGTGCTTGGACTCCTTCCGTATACGCGATTTGCGTGACTTGCTGCTGCTGCTGCTGGCGCTGCCGACGCCGGGCAGGAGGTGGCCAGCGCCACTGGGCGTCATTGGGGACAGTATCTTACGCTGGCTGTGGCTGGAGTCGCGACTCGACTGCGAGTGCGATTGCGACTGCGACTGCGACTGCGATTGCCAGCGACTGTCGTTCGAGGAGGAGCCCTGCGAGGAGAGCGTATCCTTGCACTCGCCCTCGGGCGACAGGCGCTTGGCAAAGGTCTGGAACGTGCTGGTGCTGGCCTGTGAGTTGAGCAGCGCGTTGAACGGATTGCTCGCGGCTGGCGTTGTTACCTCCACAAACTGTGCGGGATTCGGCTTGGCCATGGCTGCACTGTTGATGCCATTGCTGGCAATGTTGTTGCCATTGCTGTTGTTGTTGTTGTTGTTCTCCATGGAAAAGGTAACCGTGGTGGTCACCGTAAAGTTGTTGCCCAGCTGATCCGGCGAGTGGGGCTTGGACCAGCGCATTGGCGGCGCCGGCGGCTTGAGATTCAATGTGTTCGGCGGCTTCGGTCGCTGCGGACGCACCTGCTCCAGTTCCGTAATGCTCGCCACAGCCGCCGATGTCGTCTTGAAGGTGCTCAGATTGTTGCTGCCATGCGGCTGCAGTGGCTGCTCCAAGCCACCACCGCCGCCTCCGACTCCGCCTCCGCCCGGCAGATAGCCCTGCGCATCCACCGGCGACATGGTCAGTATGACCGAGTCCACGGAATTGGGACTCAGCAGCTGCATGTGCTGGCCGCCGCTGGTCGTGAACGAGCTCATGCTCGAGTTGGTGTCCGACGGCGTGCCCGCCTGGCTGAAGAAGCCCAGCAGCTGGCTGCTGCCCGTGGGACTGAACAGGGTCTGGGGCGGGGCCACGGCCGGCGGCTTGGCCACCAATGCATCGCTGAAGAACGTGGCCGTGCCCAGGCCGCTTGTCTCTGTGAGCGACAGCGGTGACTTGGCGTCCAGCAACTGTTGCTGCTGCTGCTGCAGTTGTTGTTGTTGTTGTTGCTGCTGCTGCTGCTGCTGCTGCTCGATGGCCGTGAGATTTGTCTTGGCCGCAACGGGCGGACCCAGCACGGCCGGACTGCTGGCATAGCTCCAGAACTCCTGGCCGAGCAGCGCCAGCGATGAGAGCTTCTTGCGGTTGTTCGCCTCGCGCAGCACCCGGGGCAGCATCAGCTGCACGGGCAGCTCGTCGCAGCACTGGGCGTAGTGCGCGATCAGCGCTGGGATGGAGCCAAACTTGAAGCGTGAGCTCTCCAGGCTGAGTATGTTGTCCTGCGACTGAATGAGATAGTGTTCGATGTAGGGGCCCGTGTCCTGGGGCAGGCGCACCGACACGGCCATCGTGTTTGGCTGGCTGGAGCCACGCACAATGAACGTCTGCAATGGCAAGAAGAAGAGAAAAAGGAGATGGAGTGAGTAAACAGCTGTGTGAGGGAGTGCCAGTGGGGGAGTGGGGGGAGTTAAGTGAGCTGTTGTCATAATTCCGCCACGTAAATCAGCGCTTGATTCCTTTCACATCGACTTCCGACTTGGCCCCGTCCGCTTTTCGCGTTAAATGTTGCGTTAAAAATGCGCGCACATAAATTTCCCATTTCTCAGTTTTCCAGCTTCCCAGCTTCCCTTTTTCCCTTCCAAAAACAATGATAAATGATAAATTGGTATTGCATACGCCGCGGCGCCTCCAAGTATGCAACGCCTTACTCCGCCAACCCCTGCGTCTCCCTCTCCTTAGCCGACTGCTTGAGCAAGTCGGTGCGTCCTTTTGTCCTGGCGGGCAAAGAAAACTTTGCAGACGCTGCGACAAAGCAGCGCAAAATGCAGACCCACACAGACTCCCGGACCTGGTCAAGTGGTCCACGAGCTGAGGCGCAGCAGCTGCAGCCCCAGAACCAGAAGCAGAAGCAGAAGCAGAACCTTGCCGTTTTCCGTTAATCGTCTGTAAAAACTTTTTATAATGAGCGTTTCACTTAAAGTCACGCAACCGCCACAGAAATTATTTCAATTTCAAACTCAGTTCCAGCTAAATCTATGCGTCAATGCATAAAGTCGAATTGAGAGTGCGTAGAGGGCGTTTATAAGTAGCTGAGCTAAGACAACTCCAAGTGTTAAGTAGACTTTTGTATAAAATCAAACTTTATTAAAGCCATATGAGGTACTCTAATAACCCCATTGTAAATATATGCAGATTAAGCTGGATAGTTTCAACTCACGAAAATGTCCACAAGACCCAGATCGTTTGTAATTGAGCAAAGGAACATACTACTTGCACTACTTGTATATATAAGTCTACTCTAAAGCCTCATTGAAATTATGCTCCTGAGATTCATTTTTAATATAAATAAATTTTATTTTATTTAAACAAGGTTCGAGTTCGGGAACCTCCAAAAGGAATTATTCTTTAATATAATATATAAATATAATAATAATATAATAATATACCCTATATGACGAAACCGCTCCAGAATCCTCTCTAGCTAAAAACTTTTGGCTTTCATTTATTAATAAAGATTTTTCAAATTAAAAAATGAATGTATGTACACTTATAAATAAAAAATCGCGATAAATGGAAACAAAATTCTTGTAAAAGAATTGTTCTAGATAATTCTCGATAATTTTCATTTCTGTGTAAATCGAAGAATAACTGATACCATTGGCATTTCGAATTATCGTGACTCGACTGTATAAGTAAAAACTTGACTCTATACTTCAATATAATAATACAAAAATTAAAAATTCCTAACATATTTCTCACATATTTTAACGGTATACTAAGTCTCAGAAATCAGAGAGTTGCTTCGAGCCCGATTTGTGCTTAATAGCAAGACTTCCATATAAAATCCAAATTAATACAGAGAAGAATTCTTCCGTTATACGTAATTGTACTTTTTTTCTGAATTTTAAGAGCTTCAATTGCTAGAGAATGAGCTGTAAGAAACGGGAACTTGTTTTTTTTTTTGTGCTTCCATTGTGTGCGTGTGTGTGTATTCTGTTTAGCTAAGCAATTCACTTGTATGTATGTGTGTGTGGCATTCAATTTTGCTCAGCAACCCTAAAAGCATGCAATTATATTTTTTCAGATTTCAATAAATGCCAAGTGTAGCGGGGGCTGCTAAAAAAAAAAAAAATCATAATAAAAAAAAATAAAATAAAATGAGAGAAGTCCCCCACATCTTTGGTTGGGTATTTACAAACGAATATGGACGCCCCGCAGCGTTGTTTATGATTTCTGTGCGAGTTTTCAATAAGCAGCTGAAAGCGAAAAGCAGAGCCATCAAGGAGATAGCAATAGGAAAAAAACACATAGAAGAAGAAGAAAAAGCAAGTGCTGCTTGATATGATGAGTGAAGTGAACAGAGAGAGAGAGAGAGACAGCGCCCTATGCTGCTCAGTCCAGACTTCGCTTATTTGATTTGGCTGCATTGCAACGCTTTTTAAAGCATACTTTTCGGCTGTTGATTTTATTAGACGCAGACGATAGACTGCGCTAGGGGCGGAACGGGCGTATGCGACTGTTGGCATGCTGCGAAAGAGCATTATATACTGATTCAATAATGTGGTCAAGAGAGTGCACCGTGAAGAGAGGCAGAGGCAGAGAGAGAAAGAGAAAGAGAGTGGGATTTGTTGACCCGTCACGGAAATGCAATTTGCTAAGGACAAAAACGAGCGTAAAAATGTATCTTAACAAGCGACAGGGCAGGGATCATGCACAAGGCAGACACAGAGGGGGGGAGAGTGAGATGGACAGAGAGAGAGAGAGAGAGAGAGAGAGAGAGAGAGAGAGAGAGAGAGAGAGA